AGGAGATATAAGGAGGTATAGGAGGCATTAGGAGATATAAGGATGTATAGGAGGTATAGGAGGCATTAGGAGATATAAGGAGGTATAGGAGGTATAGGTGGCATTAGGAGATATAAGGAGGTATAGGAAACATATGAGTTATAGGGGATATACCAGACTCACTTTCGCCACCCTCACCTGAGACCCTCATCCACAGTTTCCGCGAACATTGTGAAAACATATCATATGATTTCACTGGATACGATGCAGTTGATAAAGTTTTCATCTTTTGGTTTATCTTCGTTGACCAAAATCATCAGCATGTGGCAATGTGGCAAGCCATGCTGCTGAAATTCAATTACAAACGCATTGGGTATTGTTCGTCCCAATGTATGGTTTTTGAACATATCATCGATAAACTCATCGAGTTTAAGTTTAAGACTCTAGAATTAAATCAAGTCTATCTGAAGGAGTTTGATCAGGTAAAAGTTGTTCGTCGATTTCTCTACATGTTGGATTGCAGGTAAATGTGATGAATAGATCGGGTTTGCCATATTTTCTTACCATAGCCATAGTATCTTGATAATTCTGTTGCATTGCTCGAGGATTTCCTTGAAAACTTCATGGAAGAATGATGACTCGACCAGGTTTTAAACCTTGTATGTTTGTTTCATTCATCAGATGGTCAATTAAAGCTTAATATAATTCTAATCAAAGAACCTTTTGATTTTGTCGGTGGAATGCAAGTCGATTTTTTTCAGTTTTGACGTAGGCATCGACAATATATTGTTTAAACAATTTTCCAGCATTATGGATAACACTGAAGATTGAACGAATAGCTAATCGATAGCTGTAAAATTGAAGCATTGATATTCTCTTTCGTGATCCTCACTGGTCGATTCTTTTCAATTCCGGATGCGATTCTTCATCTCCAAGAGGAAATAGTAGAGGATAAGCCATTGGATCACATTGAGCCTTTAAAATAGAAAATTGAGTGAAGATTTTGACCACGTGGATGAATAGCAATATGTCGATATGTTGGTACTTCACCATCTTCACCTACGAAAATCGCTGCCACTTCATTCCTTCAGGGAATATTGTACCGTCGTCGATCTTGAATAGCATGATCCGTGTCGAAAATCATTCGAATTGGAGATGGTGTTCGTTTTTCTCTTTTCGCTCGATCCACTTCTTCTTGTTCTGCATCATACATCATTTTATAGGCAGCTGTATAAGGACTAATTCTGTTCATTATGTCACCAAGTTTGCTCATTATTATTTCATCACAGCGTTCATTAGCAACACGTCCCATTCGTTCTTCTAATGCTAATGATGAATCCAGTATGTAAATTTGCCCAAATTGAGCCTGTTGATCAGGTTCAGGATGAAGTGGACCGATCCAATGATAGATTTGACCGTGAATACCAAAACAGTAGGGTACAAAACCCTTTGGTAAATCAATTTGTGCCCCCATCGATGCAAATGCAAGAGCACTATTGTAGCTTCTAATGTGGTTGCGAAAATTTTCGATTCAGTATTGGTACCTTGAATGAAAGCAATAATTTCATACGTAGGATATCTTGGGTCTGGATTCGAGTATTTCCTCCCACGATTCACTCACAGTTGTGACCAAAACTCAAACAAAGCGGTCAAAGATAGATCTCGACGAGCTCTATCTAATGGTAGCATTTTTGACCTATGTTGCTGAATAGCGACTGACAAAAAGCCCACATTGCAGCTAGAATGAGAAATTTACGATGCGTCATTCCAAAAAACCAGATCGTTTGAGAACATTGGGGAACACTACCTGTTGATTGAAATGATCTAGTTCTATTCCAAATGTGCACCTAAGAGCCCAGATTAGGGTGCCAGAAAAGATTTTGCTAACTCCCATAGATGGCGCAACACGGATTGCCTTTTCGTCATACCCTTTTATGTCTCTTTCAGTGTCGAAATTCAACCACATTTCCTACCACACATAATTTTAAATTAGTTCGCAACTACGAGCAGGATTTCGAACAAAACTAAATGAACGATCCTTGCGCTGACATCTGTAAGAATTAGCCAAGTCCTTCCTGGCACCCTCATCTGGGGCCTTGGGTGTATGGGGTATGTGGAACTCTTTAAGATACATTAAATCGGAAAGTATTCTTGCCAAAAGATCACCTACATCAGTTTTTTTGATTGACTTTTGTAAATTACTAATTCTAGCTGTAATTTGGTTTTTTTCCGGCCGCTATTCAGCAAAATAGGTCAACAATGCTCTCATTAGATAGAGCTTGTCAAGTTCTATAATGATCCGCTTCATTTGGGTTTTGGTTCCAGCAAGAAGCGAATCATGACGAGTTGTACGAAAAAATCTGAGTTTTCACCGGCCTTTTTTTTGTAGCATTTCAGTTTTTATCCTGGTCCGCGAGGTGATGTAGAAAAGCTGTTAGCGTAATACCTATGGGATAAAAAGTGTGAAGCACGATACTCGTGTTGTGATAGTTTTTCGAACCGTCTGGAATAATCTGTGTTCTTATAGAAATTATTTCGTCTGTCACGGTTTCGTTGCTACATCAGTCACGGTCTGTGGGGAGGGGGGTCCATATATCTGCCAATAAACACTTCAACAGTCTTTTCAAGTCGTGTTTCACAAAAAGTGAACAGCGGATTCAATAGCACTCGTCGAGTCCTATCTTGATCCGCTTCGTTTGAGTTTTGGTCCCAACTGTGAGCGAATCGTGGGAGGAAATACTCGAATCCAGACCCAAGATATCCTGCGTTCCATGTTGTTGTCTATTTCATTTATAACGTGAAGTAGACAATATTTTATGTTACTTATAATTGATATTTTTCATTATCAATTATCAATTATCAATTATCAATTATCAATTACCAATTATTCTTGATGCAAGAGAAAACAAGTTCATGCACACATTAAAGTAATAAACGATTCTATAAAAAAAGAAGATTTGCTAAAGTATCTATCCTGATCTCAATATTAAATCCAACAGTTTGGTTGGTTTATGTAGAATTTACCACAAAGATTAGTTTCAAATTGATAAAGAAAATATTTTGATAAAAAACTTTAATAAATTGAATTTCGAGTTGAAAATAAACATGTGAAGCAAAATAATATTAAATTACGTCAAATAGAACTTTGTAACAAATTCAATTTCAAGTTGAAAGTAAACGTACGAAGAAAAATAATAATAAATTATGTCAAATAAACCTTGTAATAAAACTTGATTTATAGTCGAAGTGAAAGTGTGAACATGAAATCTCATTATCAAAATTTTACGACATGTCTCTCTCCATGTAATTACGTATATGTAGAGAGAAAATTAGCATAACTGTCCAATCAATTTTTAAAAAGCAATAGGGGTGGTACTTTATATTTACTAGTTACTTTAGTAAAGTAAATAAACGTATTTACTGGTTACTTTTGTAAAGTAAATAAAAATAATCCTAGAAGGAATAATGTATTGACTGTTGTTTTTCTCTGACGCTTTAGTAAAGCTGAATATAATAATCACTAGGTAACCGAAAGAAATGCTGTCCATACTCACATCTTGGTTGTTTTGATTTGCAGCGTGAATTTTCTTATTTTTATGAAAAAAATATTGTCTGCTGAAGTTTCCAATGAACATTATTTTGCATTACTCAAGTGTTAAAGCCATTTCATAGTAAAGGCTTAGGTTAAATATAGGACATTTTAGGCTTGAATAGACTTTATCACCAATTCTAGTTGAAATCAAGCTATTTCAAATAGGAGCGATCAACTTCACTACACTTTTGGATCATTTTGGATCACATATTTTCTCGAGAATGAGAGCTACGTAGATTGAACGCAAGCTTCTGCTCTTAGCAGTGAGGCACCTGTTTTCAGACTCTGTTTGCATATCCACAAGGAATGAATACTACATTAAATTCTATAAGATCTATTAGGACTAGCCATGCATCAGTTCCAGTTCCCGAATGGGTGACTGGGTACCATTCCGACCGGTTACGCAGCCCGACTGGCGTTTCCAAAGAAAAAAGCTTTTTTCTTAATTACAAAGGATTAGGCATTTGATGTCAAAAGAACATTAGGGCTATCCGCGTCTGTTGGATTCCATTAAACTCCTACATTAAATCCGATCAGATCCCGAGACTAAGGATCCGAAAGTCAGTTCTTTACTCGGAATCCCATAGAATTTCATCCGTTTTATAGAATCTCTGCTGATTTCGATGAGATTTCCGTCGGAATCCGAGAGGATCCTACACTGGGAATGACACTGCGGGGTAGAAATACTGTTTCCGATACATCTCGATGAACTAAAATTACCGCGCAAATTTTAGTTTTCACACATGCCAGATATCACCAAAAACCCGTCTAAAATCAAGAACACAGGAATATTTGCAAAATCTCACCAAAGTCACTCGACTTACCATTCTCAATCAGTACTATAGGTTCCATGTGAAATTACAGATAGAAACTGAACAAACGTAGTTAAACTGAAGTCACGAAGCGTTTCACCGAATATTTAAAACACATGCAAATAACAGTAGACAAAAACTGTAGTGCAGAACACCCGAAACGCATAGGTTTATTCCGAAACCTGCATCAAAAGAAATCGGCTTTCATCAGCTTGATGCCATGATGTTTGGTCACATTTTTTTTTCTTATAAACTAGACCACTCAGGAATGTGAATCTTTCATCTAATGATGCCTACTGCCACTCTTTCTCGATTCCTGAAAACCCGAGTTTGTTTGCTTTAGTCCTTTGAAAATTCTAAAAAGGATACTGAACAAAACGCGATGCTGAAAGTTGGATAAGACTTTGAGAGTGACGTGTTCGTTCGTTGTCTTTCTCTGAGTACAGATTTCATTTGAAAAACTGATTGATAAGGTCTATGTAGCCGACAGTATGGAAAATCTAATCGAAAAATAAAATGATTCAAAGAGATCATTTATTCGAATGCTATTTCAGTTTAATCAACGTTACGCGATGACGAAAGTCAGTAAGATGCGCTCTCTTTTTTGGTATTAAAATCTTGTTGGTGATTGTCGAATGCTAGGAAAGGCATCTATTCTGAGAACCAAGAATACGCTTTGCTCACTTTGAGCTAAGTTGTATAGGACCAAACTATTGATGTTACAACTCAGTTTTCAATTTTCCGGCCTCAGAGTTGACCTATTACGAATTTTTGCCGAAATAACCCTTAAGGTTACGTACCGACATGCTAAACTTAAAAGTGATCAGAAGTTTAGAATCGAAACTTTTTTAGTCTGACACTGCGGTAAGGAGCCGTAAAGGTTCTCTCCTAGGATTCAGGCTTCGAGTAAACCTCATTTTTAGAATGAGCAGATAATTATGATTATAATGATTCTTTAGTTATATGGAACATTAAAACAGCAGAAAACAAAGTTTTCCTGGACCTAGACAACTGATTTTAAATTCTATTTAATCTACAATAAATTCTTTTCAAATTTTTAATCCATGCTCTAAATACTGACACTAGTCGCAGTGTTGCGCTTTTCCTTTATTCGCCTTAGAATTTGAAGTTTCGTATTCCTTTCATGATTAGATACTTTGATAAACGATGTCCTCTACAGAGAAAACTCACCGTTTAGAGTATTATATAATCGAAAGGCAGCTAGCACAATAGCGGCCAGTGCGCAAAAGATTCTTATCATTTTTCCGTCTGAAAGACCTCTAAGAAGTAGTGGCTGAATCAGCTTGCCGAATTTCGTAGCAAGGAATGAGAGTATCTAGTTGCGTATGAGTAAAAATTAACTACATTCCATCTAAGATCTAACACATGATCTTTAGTTGGGATATGTTTTTCGGCAAAAAGCAATCGAAAACTACTTGAACACTACCGTGTATGTCGGACAATCTTTAAAAATATCGTTCCTCTTCAAATAATAAAGCTTTGAACGTTACTCATTCAAATTACGCCACAATTCACTGTTACAATAAATTTTTACACATTTTTCGGCCGATAAAGGACGGCGGTGGATATGCTACCAAGAACGGCCCTATTTGGAAACCATAGTGAAACCCCTATTAACTATACATAGTTCGAAAAGAAATTAATACAAAACGACGAATCAATAAAAATTCTGCGAATCTTCCACTTTTTTCCTGCGAGCCAGGTGATATCTCTTATACGGCTTATACAAGAGCTATATACGGGATAACTTGACTATATAGTGCACTTAAAAGTTATTATTGGTAACCCAATTATATATTATTGAATGCGGCACTAAATGCTGAACAAAACCATAAAAAAGCTTGCTTCAGAAAAGCTTGGGAAACGGGTGCGCATAGGAGCACTAAAACATATCATAGTCTTTTGCACGTAGG